GATTATCTCCATCCCTGCCCCCTGCGGAACACACAAGTGTATAGACAGACACTCTCACTCAGACAAGCTCTCTCATACTTATAGTAGATGATATGGTAATAACTTACCTCACTTTGGTGTTCAGAATTTATGTTCATAAAACACTTTGATATCCTTGCATGGGAGGGAGTGTATAAGTGCAGAGTTTGAATAGATGCTTAGAACAAATATGATTTCAGTGCCTAGATCAGGGGTCAGCAACCTACGGCACATGTGCTGTTAAGTGGCACACAAGATAATTTTCACTAGCACGCAAGCTTCCCCGCCTAATGTGGCATGAGGGGAACATTAGGCTTCTCCTCACCACGCGGCAGCACCTGCCTCCGTACCTCCCCACCAGAGAGAACTTAGGCACACTGGGCACTTTGTCCGCAAGCAGCTGGGGTGGCTTCTGGTGGCGTGGTGTTTCCGGAGTTTAGATAATTTTTCAAGTCACACCACCATACATCACACAGCCCCCTCCTTTCCCCCTCGGTACTGCCTCTGCCAGGTGGGGACCTGGTCTGGCCACACCATCTCCTCCTCTATCTCCAGGCAACCACTTGTTACAGCGACTGCTGACACTGCAGGGGAGGCAGCCAGGTCTGAGGCAAAACCCTTAGCGCTGCTGCTTCAGCCACAGGAGGGGCTGTGCAAAGCCCGGCTGGTTGCTGCAAGGCGGGGGCACTCTGGCTGCTCTCTCTCCCCCCTCCACATTCCACTGGGTGAGCAGCAGCTCGTGGAGCTGCTCGCTCTGCCACTCTCCACTGCGAGCTGGGTTTGGTAGGGAAGGTCAGGGCTTTCTTCACTCACCCTTTTCCCCCTCCCCCTCCTCACATGCCCTTCGAGTGGGAAGCCCAGAGTTGGTGTTGCAGCCTCGCAACTGTGCGGGCTTGCTGCTGCGGGGAGGGTGGGGGCTGAGCTCCCTCCCACTCCCCCTCCCCACTCCACACCACTGGGAGAACAGCAGCACAGTGATATGTGAGGCTTTTCCTCACAGCAAGGGGGTGTGAAGCCAGGTAAGCTTCCTTCCTCATGCCCAGACCCCCACATTCCAATTCCCCTTACTCACTCTCTTTCCATTGCCAAGACCCCACATCCCTGGCTTGCTCCAGTACCTCCCTTGCTCCTGCTCCCTCCACTTGGCCAGACACCCTACTCCTAGCTTGTTTGGGTACCCTACCTCCCACTCGGACCATGCAACCTCTCCCCCTTCTGCACCTCACCTCCTTCCCAGATCCTGTTCCCCATCCCTACCCCACTTGTGGGCACTCTTGTCTTGCACACTGAATCCCTCCTTTTTTGTCCCTACCCCAGAGCCTAAGGGGATCCATAAAATCCACTAACTCCAGAACCCCAGAAAGGTAAATCTGGCCTATGGGAAACCCTGAACCTCAGTCCTCCCTATCCCTTCCCCTTACCTTATGAGGCTGGAGCACTAGAGGAGGTGTCTAAATTGGAGGCTTCATCAGTGAGGGTTGGGGTTTTTTGTAGGAGTGTTTTTATTTCTCACTTGTATGGTTCCCAAGGGTATGTCTACACTACAAAGTTAATTCGAACTAACGGACGTTAGTTCAAATTAACTTTGATAGGCGCTACACTAGCGCTCCGTTAGTTCGAACTTAATTCGAACTAGCGGAGCGCTTAGTTCGAACTAGGTAAACCTCATTCCACGAAGACTAAGCCTAGTTCGAACTTACTAGTTCGAATTAAGGGGTGTGTAGCCCCTTAATTCGAAATTGTGGGAGGCTAGCCCTCCCCAGCTTTCCCTGGTGGCCACTCTGGCCAACACCAGGGGAAACTCATCTGCCTCCTTCCCGGCCCCGGACCCCTTAAAGGGGCACGGGCTGGCTACGATGCCCGTGCCAGGTGCAAGCCTGCCAACACCCAGCTAGCAGATCCTGCACCTGGCACGGCTCGCGGCAGCCACCCGATGGCCCCTCGCCCCCCCCC